TTTCCAAAGTGTTTGCACTTTGCTCAGTGTAAATATTGCCCCACACTATCGTGACGATTTTTATATTCATTTGGCGCAAGTGCAGAACATCCTGAGATTAGATGGTCTATGGTTCCTTGATATTTGTTACAGAATTTGGATTTTGGATCTACACTATTATGCATGGTATTCGCCTGAAGGTTTCTAGTAAAAAGACTCTGACTGCAAGAATAAAATCGTCCGTTTCAGCCTTTAATCAAGGTGCTTGTAACCATCGATGAGTGTTAATTTTATCAACATCGGATTTATTAGCCTCGTTCTGGATATTGGCCATGAAGAGGTTTGTCTTGCCAGCGTTGCTTCATCTGTTCAAGAGCTTTATTCTTGGCTTTCTTTTTCATAATTTTTGCTGCAGCTGTTGATTCTTGGGTTCTGTTTTAGTTTTCTACAGAATCTACTAAATGTAAATCTCGTTTGTATTTACAACCTTCTTTCATGATTGAATATTTCTCTCTGCTTTCGTGTTGTTTGACTAATTTTATCATCCAGTCCTTTGTTGTTTTCATGTTTGTTAGTAAGCCAATAGTTGTTGTCTTGTATGACAATTCTAGCTGAATATGACATCTTCCACATTCTTTGCGGGGGTATGTATAGACGGTTTACACCCCCCTTTGGATGATTCATGTTATGCTTAGAAAGTTCTTGACTTAGAATCCATTCGTCTGATGTCATTTAGAGTCCAATTCAAGATTTTGAACCAATATTGAACCACTAGGATGGCAAGGCTATTAATGGCCATAATTCTGTCCTGAGAATTCAATTCAGTTCTTAATATTAATCGCACCCTTCTATAGTACTCTTTTCGCGGTATTTTTTCATTTTATGGTGAATTCCTTCAATCTCATTTACACCGAGGTACTTATAAGCTTCTTCTTGCTCTAAATCTTTGATTGTTACTCCAGGGTCTAACCTAATAAAGGAGGTTTGTTGTAGTCATCCTCATAAAATCGTGGCTTTAGCACATTTATCCAAACCAAAGTCCTTTCCAATGTCATCATTGAAACATTTTACTGTTTCCAGCTCACTCTCATTCATAGCATACAACTTTAAGTCATCCATGTAAAATAGATGGCTGATTTTCTTTTGAGACATCTTATAGCCATATTCCGTCCCGTTAAATTTGCTGGTTAATAATAATAGGGACATACAAAATAGTAAAGGAGACAAAGAGTCATTTTAAAATATTCCTCTGTTGATGTTTATTTCAGCAGACTTATAAACTCCATTTATATGATTCAGTCGAAGTGTTGTTTTCCATATTGACGTACTTTATTTGATGAAATTGATGACGACTGGAGGTACCTTGAATATATTTAAAGACGTAAGATCCAGGCATGGGGTACACTATCGAATGCCTTACGGTAATCTACCCAGGCAGTACTTAGATATTTCTTTGCATTGAAGCAGTTTTCCAAGATCATATTATTAATAAGTAATTGGTCTTTACATCCGTGAAAGCCACGTTTGGACCCTTTTTGTTCAAGAAGTAGTATGTCATTTTTTTAAGAAGGAATATATCTGTTTTTTGTTTGTTTGTTTTTTTTTTCAAAGTAAATGTCAACAGTTTGTAAGTATTGGGAAGACATGTAATTGGTCTGTAGTTTTTTTTATATTTATATTACCATTCTTGGGTAGAAGGAAGGTAATTCTTTTGGTTACACATGCCAGAATTTTAGTAGAACCATTGACCATTTCTTGAAGTTTTTTGGCTAGTTTTTTGTCTGCTGTATTTAGATAATAGCAAGAATAAAACTTTCAATTTCAGATTTTAATCTTGCACTACGTAACCACTGATAGATACAGGCTCTGTCTACAGTAGCTTGTCTGATCCGGGCAGAGTATTGGCCATGAAGAGGCTTATCTTGCCATCGTTTCTGTATTTGGTACATTGCATTTGCTTTTGTTTTTGCTTTCTTTTTAGGTTCTTTGTCGCTAAGTGTATTATGGTTTATATCCACTTCTTCACCCACTTGAAATTCCCTTTTGAATTTCTTGACTTCCTTTATTACAGAATACAGTTTCCTATTTCTTTCATGTTCTATGACACAGATCATCATCCAGTCTTCCGTAGTTTCCAGGTATCTCTGAAGACCGATCGTTGTGGTTTTGTAAAACAGTTCTAGTTGAACTAATCCTCTGCCTCCTTCGGATCTGGGCACATACAGACTATCAACATCAGCTGTAAGATGCTGCATGCGGTGGCTAGTGAGAAACTTTCTCATTTTCACATTCATTATTATTATTATTATTATTATTATTATTATTATTTCTCTATACAATTATTTCAATGTATTAATTTTGCTTCTCTTCGATTGATGCAGACAAATGGCTGAAATGGCTGGTTACACGGAACGCGCTGCCAATGTGTGTGGTAAACAAGCAGGAGAACTTTTAAAAGAATTAGTCGGCAACACAATATCTCCGTACAGAACTGATGTCAAATGCAGTAGTTATCATACAGGTAAGAAATGAAATCGAGAAAAGGACGAAATGCCTTTAAAGGCTATTACTGCTGTAGTGAGTTCGATTCTCACAGAATGTACCATATTATGCCTTCGTATCACACTCAGCTACATTTTATACATAGCTCTGGTGCAATGGATAACGAGCTAATATTTCAAACTCCTGTTGTGAGTTTGATTACTACTTAGGCTTAACACTGGATCTCGTACGATCACCGAAGTTGAGCAACATCAAGCCTGGTCAGTACCTAGATGGAAATAATGTGTATGGGTGGGGTAATGAATAATGGCTTAAAATTGTTAATCAGAGTGCTGAGTTTCAATTCAAGTTGGGCATGTTGGACTTGTTATATTCATTAATGCACAAATAGCCTCGGGAAAGGTAAGAATTCACCTCTACTTCCTACTCAGTTACAGGTTAATTAGAGATACGTGTATCGCTAAAAAACATTAATATCTAAAAAAAAATAAATAAATAAATAAAAAAAATAAATACATACAGTTGCGTACAAAATATTTAGATTTCAGCATTAAATAAACCATAGAGGTGTTGATATGCCGCTAAACAAAAACCACCAACCTTTCAATCATTACTTATCGCCCCATACATACGGCCTTGTGCTCACTGGGTGCATTTGTGGCATTGTCTCGACGGTATTGTACCCAGGTGATACATACGTGGCTACATGACATAGTCAATTCTTATCGTTTAAGATGTGAATTCAAATCTCATCCGTAGTTCTTTCTTTCATTTTTTTTTTAAATTTACGTAATTTAATTTGAAGGCCAGGATCACATCAGACGAAAATCAGAAACGATGATTTCAATAAAGAAAAAAAAAAGAGAAATTAATAACAGAACATCTGATGTTTTATTTAAATTATTAGCCGAATTACCCGCGACTTGTTGCGTGTCAGACATTTTTTTTGTAAGAAAAACATGATTGATTATAAATCATTGTTATAATTTATGGAGAAAAAAGATGCATTTCAATATTACTCAATGATCTTGCCGATGTGACCTCCATCTTCTGGCTTTCTCTTTCTATATTTTGGATAGGAGTCATTCCATTGTTCAAATTTAAATTTAATTTAAATCAAAGGGAAAATTTTTCAGTGGTCTGTGTGTGTCTGTGCAAAAACAGCTTTGATCTGACCCTTTTGATATGTATTTGATGCAATGTTTGATTGTCACAACAAATATGTATTGTAAGGCACTACCCACTGTTTAGTGATTTCTTACTCAACTTTCCATCTTATGCCATATTATCTCATTTTGATCTTGACGATGTGACCTCCATCTTCTGGCTTTCTCCTTCTATATTTTGGATAAGCGTCATTCCTTTGTTCAAATTTAAATTCAATTTAAATCAAAGAGAAAAATTTTCAGTAGAGGTTTTTGTGCCCCCACCCGGCGAAATGAAATATAGTTATCTAAGTACACTGGGTAATCTAGTTTTAGAACATATATTGTTTTGCGGGGTGGGTGTGGGGGCTATCTTCAAAAGGAACCTAATAACAGACAGACAGAGGCTACAACTTTATATATATAGATTTGGCTACATGCGATACCATTCAAGTGTTTTGGGAATTTAAATACATCAATCTGTTTATCTTAAATTAACCAGTTCCCCATGTCTCGCCGAACATATCACACCTCTATTGAAATCTATCCCTTATCTTTGGAAGTAAAGATCATCGTTTTCTGACAATTTTTTCTTTCTTTGATGAAAACCTAGGATCTCCGATTTTTTAGTTAGAACATCGAAAGATGTTTTACTAGCACACGAATGTAATATTACATTGCAAATTTTGTGTCTAGGCATGTGTATCTGCATGGGCTTTGTTAAGAGCAATCAAATTAAAAACGTTATCATTGCTCGCCATTGTCTTAACCAATAAGTTGCCATACGTTCATTTATTATTATTGTCATTATTATTGGTATCTTTACTTACAATTTCTTTCTTACCATTTTGTAGGCGCTATCGTTGGAATTGCTATTGGGTGTGTCATTTTCGTGTCTCTCGTCTTTGGTATCCACTTTGCACGGAAAAGACTCTTGGGTGTCCACATATGACCATGTCTCATTAATTCGGCTGAACCCCAGGAAGTAAGTTGAAGCAGATGACTTGGGATGGAACTGAAGTTGGCTGCATCTGGAAATATAAAAATTTCACAAACATAGAACGAATAAAATGAATATATATATATATATATATATATATATATATATATATATATATATATATATATATAATTATTTAAAAAAATATGATTCCTTCGCTACATAAGAGTTCTCATGTTTCAAAAATCTCAATATAATTATTGAAATTAAATTGAATTAAAGTATCAAGCCCTGTTTCATCCTCAAGCGAAAATTTAGGTTCCTTTAATTCAATTTAGTTTTAATAATTATATTGAGGTTTGGCTCTTGTTTTTAAAACATGAGAACTCTTATGTAGCGAAGGAATCATATTTTTAAAAAAATAATTATAATTTAAGCTCTACTTCTGTATGGACCACTGTTTTTTAAAAATAAAAAAAAAATACTAAAGAACCCCGGATTATTTACCTAACGTGTTCTTTTTGTATTTTCTACGTATTTTCACACATTTTCACACACACACACACACACACACACACACACACACACACACACACATATATATATATATATATATATATAGACATATATATATGGTGTATCAAAAATATTTTTGCAAACTTTCAGGTGGGTTCCTCACACCAAAACAAGGACAAAAGTTCTTATAAACATAGGTCTGAAAATCCCTTGTTTTTGAGTTATTAAGTTTAAGGCTAACGGTAGACGCTGCTAAATGTAAAATCATAAAATACTTATTACCATAGTTCGTGGCCCCACGGATACTGGATCAGCAAGACGACGATAAGACGATAAATAGCAGCAAAGGTTGGTTGACTCGGCTGCCTTCGTTCTGGAAACACAATCTGATACAGCCGTGCAGCCTCGCGTCCATTACCATTCGTACGTCCGTGAGTAAAAATCATATCTGCCTGATCACGATATGACTATTCTACTATTGCTAAATCGAATACTTCTCAGATGACTCACTACTACACAAGTTAAACGTTAAAGACTGACTAGACAAAAATGTACACGAATGAAAAATGTAATCTAGTCTAGATGGCAACACAGCGCCATTTACCCTAAACTTTCTTTAAACTTAATAACTCAAAAATAGAGGATTTACGGACATATGTTTATCTGGATTTTTGTCCTTGTTTAGTGCGAGGAACCAGCTCCCAAAATTTTGTAAAAGTATTTTGATACACCATATATATATATATATATATATATATATATATATATATATATATATATATATATATATGTGTGTGTGTGTGTGTGTGTGTACTTCCTTTTATATATATATATATATATATATATATATATATATATATATTCCTTATTTATATATATATATTCCTTATTTATATATATATATATATATATATATATATATGTACTTTCTTATTTATATATATATATATATATTATTTTATATATATATACTTTATTTATTTTATATATATACTTTCTTATTTTTATTTTATTCTTTTTAATACTACCGTTTCTTGGTCTGATTCGACTCTGATCATTATATATATATATATATATATATATATATATATATATACACATAAGGTGTCCATAAAGTTCGTGTGCACTTTAAAAATTTATAACTTTATTTGTATTTGCGATAGAATTAATTTGTAAAAAGTATTAGAAAGAAGTAAATCTATAGGTGTGGACATGAAAGTGAGACTAACCTTGGCTCTCGACATAAGAGGGTTCGTTTGTGTCTGGCGTGCAGGGCAGTAATTGGTCCGAAGGAAGAAACACCACCATTACGGTGAGTCGGACTTATGGGAAACGCGATCTTGTAGCCGCGAGAATTGGCGAGAGGTGAACTTGGCCGTATGCAAATTGGTTGGTGTTCGCTGGCATAAATGTGACAGCGGAGACCACTCGAGAGAGTTGTGTGTAGCGAACTAACTGTGTTGTTATTGAGGTGAAGATCAGTGGAGTGTTGTTTTTTTTTTTTTTTGATAACTACGTTGTGTTTGAATAATTGAGTGCAAAGATCTGTGGAGTTTTGTAGCTAGATTTTTTTTCCATCGAGCAACCTGTCTTGAAGCTGAGGAGTTTTGTTTCTTCCGGAAGTAGGCGGTGCCGGGCCAACCCGTTCCCTTCCTATTGTTTGGACCTAATTTTACTACAAGCTATTTTGGCATAATGGGGGACAGATTCGACCTGAAATTGATACCGGAGTTCGATGGCTCAACCCCGGTACTTGACTGGGTGGAAAAAGTGGAACTGCATTGCCTCTTGTCTGGCATAAAGAGCATTGAACACGTGATTCCTCTGCGTCTGTCTGGCGGGGCTTTCGCTGTGTATCAACAGCTCAGTGCTGAGGAAAAACAGGATTATGAGAGAATCAACGCAGCACTATACAAGGCGTTTGCTATCGACCCCGCCACTGCATGGGAACAATTCGAGGCAAGAACTTTACTTCCAGGCGAAACTGTCGACGTGTATCTGGCCGAGCTGACGAAGTTGACGGTGTTGTTCGGTGGGTTGCCCGAGCGGGCCTTGACATACAAATTTCTGGCAGGGCTCCCAACCGGAGCAAAGCAATTCCTGCGAGCTCAAGCATAGCTCGTTGTCCCTTAATGACCTGGTAGGACCAGGATCGTGATGAAGGATAACTCTGAGGTGAGAGAACCGGTAGTCGCCGCTGCACAGTCCACGCCGAGTGATGATAGACCGTCTCAGGGCCCAACCCCGTGGTGGGGTCATATGTTATAGATGTGGTGGCCAGGGGCCACATTGCGAGGAACTGCAGGTGGCGACTGACAGCTGTTCGCTGCTACCGGTGTAATGAGACTGGACATATGGTCCGGGATTGTGCGGGAAACGGGGCCGGGGACAAGGTGCCAGCGTCGACCTCTTCCCCAA